GTAGGGAAAAGAAAAACATAAAAGAACATGAGTGGTGAAACCACGTCAGAAAAGGATTTTTAGGTGTATGTAGTTACAGAATGGCTAATGGTTTAAACAAGTGGGGCATCAGTGTATTATACCTTCCATAATATGCTGCCCAATGAAGAGCTGTCCATCCAAATCTATCACGGAAATCCAGCGACAAGCCTGACCATGAAAATAAGGAAACAGCCCAAGTATATCCCAGAACTGCACACAAATGGATTACACTTTGGCCATGTGCATCATATTCTGTAGTCTTACAGCCTAAAATAATTTTTTCCAAAAGCCATTCCCTTAGTCTGTTTTTCAATGCAATTTCAAATAGGGCATCTTTCGCATGTGAAAAGGGAATTTGGTTGTCTTCAGTTGACTTGATTAAGTATTGCCAACTATTGGAAATAAATGATGTTTTGAGGGCGAATTGTCTTGCCTCCTTAAGCCTATTAGGTGATACTTTACTAGAGAAAACATCAAGGCTCGGTTGTTTAGCAAAGAGCAAAAAAGCAAGCCTCATTTGTAGCCGAAACTCATTCCAATTGTCATTCTCTTCCATTGAAGCTGCAGGATCATGCAAAACAGGAGTGCGATATTCAAAATTAACAACTTGGCTAATAGGCTTATGGCCATCAAGGGTCAAGTAGAGATTCACAAATCCTGGAGAATGCGGTGATACCCAGCACCGGTAGACCCCAACCTGAACAATTTCTGCAGCAACGCTAACATCACCACAAACACAAAACAGATTGGACTTTGAAAGGTGCATATAGTCCTTATGAAAGAATCCAGTCACCAGAACCTGCATGTAAAGGAATTCAGAAAGTCTAGCAACAATGGCAAATACAGGTAGCAAACATATGAATTCATCACGCAGCAAGTATGTACTCTGCTAAATTCTGCAACAATTTATAAACATGAAGATGTACATGCTACTGCTTGCAGCCAAAGAGCAACTCATAACACTACTAAAAATGTTTTTGGCTAGATTGAAGAAAAAAGATAATTCAAATCCCTCAGAGTTTATATTTTTGTAGTCTACATGCTTTGGAATTCAATATTGAAAGAAAAGACTGAGGAATCAACTAGAAGTAATGAACCAAATAATACATTAGAGTTAACAGTCAAAGAAAGATATACTTGTAACAGAAAATAACTGCTAGTAAGAAGATATATGAGAAGGGCAAAGAAAACCTTTGATTTCTCAGTGGAAGATACACTTGTAGGGGATACATCAGTGATAGTAAATACTTGTTCTGGCAGAGAAAATTGTTGACTATCCACCACCAGAGATGAATATGGTTCATAAACAGATGAAACTGATGATTCACGAGTTGGGTCATCTACTGAACATGGTGAATCAGACATGATGTGGTTCACCCACATTCCAAAGCTGCCCTGACTTTGCAATCTATCATTGACCAAAGTGTCCAAGGAATCAACACCACCTATAGAAACAGTATGATTTCTCTGCTCATTTGGATTTGCTTGATTGTCCATCGTCTGAAGATTAACACTTTCTGCAAAATTGTAAGGAACACTGTTGCTCCCAGCAATTGGCTGTGTAAGACTATCAAAAGAAGGAGTTCCTGCAGATGGATTGCTGGCTACCTGGTGACAAAGCAAGTATTATAGAGCAGTGGCTATTACAAAGTACCTCCAGAAAATGAAAGAAAAAGAAAGAGGAGAAGGAGGAGGAAGCAAAAGAAAATGATATAATGAGGCATACAAAGTAAACATAAGCATTGCCCTCACTATAATTTTAAGGCCTCTTCTTCAAAATGGCTGTGGACATTTTTATATGTGATTACAGGCAATTTGAAAAAAAATATCATAAAGGTAAAACAGCATCTTAACTCCTCATCATATATAACATAACAATAATCTAATAGTGAAAAATACACATGAAATGCTGCTGTCCTGGATGTTGAATGCCTGAACATCTATTATATAATAAATATGTAGTCTAGGAAATATAATAAAACCTCTACTACATATACTTTAAAGATGACGAAATGGTCTTGGGATAAATTTCAAAGGACCAATAATAAGGAGGTCAAAGTTTTGTGACACTGCAGTTTTTGCTGTTCATTGATATTATTGGTTGAAGCAGAATGCCTGCATTTTTTTAGACCTCTGGTTTGCTTTAGGATAGGTTTGTACTTTTGGCTTCTCTCTGGTGATTAGCTCATGGCTATTTCATGAGAGTTTCCGGTTTCCACCACCAACGTGCATAGAGATTGGGCAGCGTTGCTGCATCTTTGAATCCTTCTCCTTTCTTGTCCTTTCCCTTTTTAATATTAGAGGATATCTTATCCTACCCCAAGTTATTTTCTGGTGCTTCACTCATTTCCTCTCTAATAAATTTATTTTTCCGTGTTAAAAAAGAAGAAGAAAAAAAGGGTCAAAGAACTAACTGTCCCATCACAAAACATAGATGAGAAATGGACAACAAAAACCAGAATAACGAATACAGATAAAAGAAAGATAATATTATCTTACATTGCTGAAACTGCCATTCAGTAAAATTTGATCTTGTTGATCAAAATATGGAATCGTGCCTGTAAAAAGTTAATTTAAAGTTATGATAAAATAATGTGGCACCCTCTAAACAAGTGACTGATTGTGCTTTAATCAACTACCATTTACCTCCATTAGGCTCAGTAGAGGCGTTATGATCATTGGCATCCACTAGGTCATCCCATTCAAGTGTATTAATCTCGTGAAGTCTGAGTTCATGACTTTTGACCTTTATATTGTCACTCACGTCTGTTTTTGTCCAAACCAGAAAGGATGGAATTATATACCTTATCAAGTAAAGACAAGTACAGTATCCATGACTTAAAAAAAATAATAAAATTATGTCAGTTAATAGTTTATTTAGTCTATTTTATTTTAGTTAATAAAATAAAAGCATCAATTAAACAACCAGATATACACAGCATTATAAACCAACAAAAAAACTTATTTTCTGCTTCCTTCCGGAAAGATGAGAAGAATAAAAATGAGATAAAAGGAATATATGTGCAATATATAAAGACATGCACATGTTTTTTCTTGTAACTCATTATCTTGCCTCTCATTGTTTTCAAACAAACACTCAACATCTTAAAAATTAAAATATAAATATTTTTAACAGCATCATGAGCCTTTCATATTAATAGATTTCAAAAGTATAACTATAAGATTGACCACAAAAATGTAAGTTATTTCTTACCAGCATATGTAGTCGTGGTCCCTGAATCTATTTCTTCTGATAAAATCCATGGTGCAATAGAATCAGAGACAGAACTGGAGTGTGAATTTACAGGAGTGACAGGAGAACCTTGTAACTGTATCATAAACCACAACCCAAAGAACGTTACAAAGCCAAGTTATATCCATTTTCCCAATCAAGTTATAGAGCACAAATGACACCTTAAACATGAGTTTATTTCTAATTATAAAGATGTGTTCACTTTAAGTGTCATTCACATATAGAAACTAACTGATGATATCCTAGCACTGATGTGTGTTTTTTGAAAAACGACTTTTTATGTTTACAGAGAAAACAAATGAACTTTATTCTAAAATGCTAAAAGAAACGCAGGAGAAATAAATGCAGTTTTCAACATAACGAAACAAAACAATGAGTGTGATATAACTTTTATATAAACAAACACTTTTAATATTAGGAAAACAACCTTTGGTTTTTTTTTTCAAACAAAGTTTTCCAGGGATATACACATGGATTACGTCTGCCACAAAAAAGCCACAGGGTTACTTACCCCCTTTAGTTGAAAAAAATACAATAGAGAAAATTAGACCCCCAACTCTAGGCAAATATTAAGTAAACAGAAACTAGAGTATATTATATGCAGTAGAAGTAAACAAAGCATCACAATGACAAACTGTCAACTTTTAAAGAACCAATTCACATTAGCAGTTCATAAAAAAAAATTGGGTTTTATACAATACAACATAACGTATAAAACTGTACTTGGCCATCTTAATACAAGCTAAATAAACTACCATGCTCCTACTAGTGATGATTCTGTTAATATTTTGTCATGCCCCTGCGCAACTGTCCAACATATGAAATAAGAAAGAAACACTAGACTTGAAAGACGAAAAAGAAATAGTTATCACACTTGTCTTATGTTATAATCAACTTTTGGCGCTTACATTCATCATCAATTCTGGTACAAATCCATTGTTGGACTTGGATATTCTTTCAAAATTCAAAACACATATAATGGTAATTAAAGCTATAAAGCTGTTTCATAATACACAAAATGAAAGAGCCGATCCACTATAAACAGAAATCAAATGAAGTTTCTATCCAGACCAACTGAAAAAACATTTCAGTAAAAGAAAATTTTCTTATATACATAATCATGTTTTACCCAGACATAAGGATCAGTAAAACACAAACTGACTAATGATTATATATGTATATATGGTCTTTCTTCCAGACAAAACAACATAAGCACGACACACATAAATCATGGTTTGTGAGGTTAAATTGAACTTTTGAAAGGGAAAATATAGAGTAAATGGTGTACAACTGAACACAACCTCCTGTGTTTCACGGTAATGAACAAGAACTATGTGTTCCATACTCCTGAAAAGAAAACAGTGAAAACAATTTTAAGTCACATTGTTATTGGCAAACTTATTTTAATTTTATCTTTAAAAATTTATACAAGAATAACATAAGCACCATAATACAACATAATTCAGCAGTATGAATGAGCATAAAATTTTGGAATTGGAGCTTTAAGAGACAATTGATATGCATACTTATCAAGCAGCCAATAACACCTACGGACAAAATTTGGGTTATCTTGGCCATGTGCATAATATACATGGATCCTTTCTTCGTTACCAACCTGATGGGTGGGAAAAAGAAAAAAATGACCAGAAAGAATGTCAAAAATCAGATATGATTCTAATGAATAATAACACAAACTGGAGGAAGGAATTATGATCATACATAATAAACACTAAATTTGATAATAAAAATAAGAGCAGAAAGCCAGAAACTGATCTATATCCCAAATACTGCCCAGAAAGAATGATAGATATGTGACTGGGTCATTGTACAAATTAAACATCGCCTATTAGTTCCACACTGAGATCTAACAGAAGACCCAAAAAGCAAAACTACTTCTTAAGGACAAAGCACGGAGAATGGAAGTATGGAACAGCATCAAAAAAACCGTAAAATAGAAAACTGATCACTAGAAGCCTTATGTCTTTCAAGATATAACCACATATAATGCTTGTCAAGCTACTTGCTAAACCCTCTCATCATGTTATCAGTGTTTAATTCGTTCAATTCCCCATTAATAAAATAATGATAAAATATCCCATCTACAGTCTGTTAAAGAGTGTATTTTCAAATAAAATTCAAATTAACATGAATAAAAACACCCAAGAATATGAAAATCCTCACTTTTAAGTGCTCATGAGCTTCTTTAACTGTTTTCCCATCCTTTTTCTTTTTCCAGTTGTGCCCATCTTTTCGGAAGTTCCTAAGCATCTTGCGGTCAAATAATACAATAGTACCACCTGTTTACACAAAATAATAATAATAACAACAACAACAAAACAACAATAACAATTGGAATATTTTCAGTGGAGATTTGACATTGTCTAACTATTAATAGTGAAAACTTAATATTTGGATGCAAAATAACGAATCTAAATTATATCGGATACACAAATGATTTTTTTTATGACAGAAAAAATTTATTAAAGTAAAAGCAGAAGATTACCACAAGATTAGAGGAAAATATATCCTCCTAGCAATAGAATATTCAAACAAAATAATTTTAAAAAATAAATTTATAAACCAATAATTAACTAGCATAGTAGCTCACAAAATTTATAAAACAAGCTAGAAATCATAACAGTTCCAAAGTATGATTATCATGGAATTGCTTACTACCAGTAGGTAAATGTTTTAGGGAACTTAGCCTATGCAGGCAATAAGGACAGGAATGAATATGGTGAGATGACAAATTGTCTATAGGAAAATACACAATAGAGCAGAATGGATATGATGCATGTCCATTTCACAAACACCAAATTACTGCTAATTGATAATTACTTTTTGGCAAATTCACTGGCTTGACATTAATGGTAAAATACTTGTAATTACAAAGCATGGCATGAATCTCATTGGGACGGAGCCATCTTGTTCTTGCTTCCTCCTTAATGCTCTGCATATCCAAATCTGGGGCATAAATAAGAAAATATTTCAGAATACAAAAAAAAACTGAGATGGTTAATCTTAATCCTTCCATTAGTTTCATTTTGACATAGCCTAACACAAGCCAACATTCTTGCAAAAGTAGACTTCCTAGGTCATTTATCAAACCTGGGGACCAGCTGGTGTAAAATTTCAATTAAAATTAGGAGTAGGACATTATGTTTGAAATCTAGTACAACTCATAACATTAATATGATCTACCCTAACCGCTAAATGAGATACGAAATTAATTATTCACTGACAAGAAACAAAAACTACATCTTAGTCTTAGACACTTGATCAAAATAAACATATGCATAATTGAAAGACCAACAGTGAAGTACGAACCTTGCAATGTGTGGAATCCATGTATTTCTGAACCCACCAGTTGCGCTAAGTTATTCGCCATATTCACAGAAACCTAGGGAAATTCCGAACACTTTTCTCTCACCGCAAAGTCAGCAACTGCATATTATGTAAAAAATGAAAAAAGAGCAAAGTGATGATGACTCAACAAAAGAGAACAATCATCGTTCCCAACTAAAAATAAAATAAAAAAACAGAGTGAAAAACTAAAAGGGTAGTGAGAAAAATAGAAAAGGTGATAAATTTACCTGATTGCAAAGAAGGGTGGGTTTCCTGGAATTGAAAGAGTTAGAAATATGATCGCCTCGTGAGAGCTGAATGACACTCTTCTGTTCCTTTGTGTTTTCAATTCTGCAGCCTGACTCTAACTTATATATTATATTATAAATAAAATAAAATAAAATAAGAGTTAAGTACGATTATTACAAATACTAACAAATTAGTAAAGACAAAAGGTTAACCATTGAGGAATATTTTCACGACATTAACTATGCACTCATATTGTAAAAACTAAAAGATGAAAATAAAGTTAAGTTGAATAAATCAAGCTGCTTGATAGGAACATTTGACATAACCTGTACGAGGCTCAGGTAACACTGTACTTTTTTATAAAATAAAACTATTTATCAAAATATTTGTTAGGATTTAGGGTTTAATCTTTAATTTTTTACTACAGGATGTTTTAATTTACTAAAAAAAATTAACGTATGATTAGAGTTTATACGAAGTAAAATAAGTCAGATTTTAATTAATTCAGCTCGTGTACAACCTGAATTAGAAAAAAAAAAAAATAATTTAATTAATTTAATTCAGATCATCCAATTGATCTACTTTTGAACACCCTTACTTGAACCATTAGCACGTTCACAACTTAACCACCCCACGGCCTTGAGGACAAGGCCCTTTTTCCGACCGGTAGCAATGTCAGTGGCCCAACCTATCTCGAAGCCCAAATAATCTTTGAGGGAGGGTTTAAATTTACCATTATATTATATTATATCTCATATTGAGTAATAATGGCCAACAAGAATTTTTCATGATTTATTAATAATAAATAATGTCTTTTAAATGGTTGGTCGATGCTGGTTGTGGCAAATTTGGAATGACATGAATCGGGTATATAATTAATGGAGCCATGAGCTGAAAGGTATTTACGTCCTTCACTGTTCCCAATCACATGTTCTTTTCTAATGTGTTTTGGTTGTGGCCTGCTAAAATAGTATTATTCTATATTTCATTATTTGTTTTATATAAATAACAATAATGCAAATATATTTTTAAAATAAATAAATAATAACATGCATTTGATTTCCTAAAATTAAACTAAAAAAGTTTTACATAAAAAGTGCTTGTTTTGTAGCCATATATTTCTTTTTCTGACGCTTGAATGCTGTGAGCTTTATCTTATTTTGTTTTATTTTACTTTATTATTATCAAGGATCTCTTTGATCGATATTAAATATTTTCTAAGTAACCACAAACCATTTTATAAAATAAAAAAGAAAATCTTTAAGTAACAAGAAAATTAAATAAATTTAATGCACAAGTTTAATTAATTTTTAAACTAAGAATAAGTTAATCAAATTATTATTTTAATTAATATTAGTTACCACCTAATCAAAATTAAGTATTTTTAAAAATATTGTTGGTGATTACTATTTTAGATTTTTTTTTTTTGTTTAAGACTTTAAATTATTACGAGAATCTTATATTTTGGGGGAATGTATCTATTATCTAATATGACGACTTCATCATCCCAAACTTTTCTAGTTTCTATTTTTTAAAACAATAATAATAAATAGAGTTGCTAGAACATCTCCGGTATAATTTATTTTAGATTTTGAATCTATTTTGTTGCAGGTCCCTTAATTTAATCTCACTTCAAATTTAATAAAAAAAATTGAATAAAAAACTTAACTTGAGTTATTAATTTATTTAATGGACTCCCACGTTTTTTTATTTTTAATTTAAGTGAGAATAGTATAAATATTTTTATCAATGAAAATTAATTTTTATGTAATAACGACTTTTACACTGTTTTATCTACGTTAGAATACATTTTTGGTAAAATTTACAAAAGTCAATTCTTATATTAATCAACTTTAATGAGAATTTTTATGAGTTCTTAAAATAAGAATCGATTTTTATTTTTTTTACTATTGGAGAGTAATAACATGATTTTGATGTGTAAAACTAGTTTTTATGTAAGAATTCATAATAATTGAGTTTTGAGGAGAAAAAAGTGAATTAATTGTGAAATCCACATAAAATGAATTAGAAATCATGTTAAGTTCATTAAAGAAAAAAAGAAAAAAAAGAAAAAAAGTTCATAATACATGACATCAAGGGATCCGTAAAAATTACATTAAAAAATCACAATCAGTTCTATCATTAAAGAAGCTCTAATTAATTACTTAAATTAAACATTTAGTTCGAGTCATTTGTTAGTTTATACAAAAGTATTAACATCTTTTAGGCTCATTCTACTACAATTTCTTTCAATTAAATGTATAAAATCATGGTAACTTTTAACCCTTTGAAAATAAAAAAGAAATCAATTCAATATATTGATGTTATATGTTTAAAATAAAAATTAGTTTATGAAAAAGAAAATTGCCAAATGGTTTGATTCTTATTCCTACGTGTATTTCAGGGCCATGAGGAACCCAAATTCATGTAACATAATTCATTAAAAAAATGTCAATTGATTTTAATTAAGAATTACCTTAAATAGAACATGGGAGAAAAAAAAAATTGATTTTGGGTTTTAAAAGGTTGGGAATGAATCCACGTATTTCTTATAATACAAATTCTTGTTTTTTGGGTTCTAAAAGGTTGGGAATGAATCCAAGTATTTCTTATAACACATTGTTATTGAATGTGAGATAATCCTGCGCACTCCCCCAAATTTGAGAATCATAATTAAACCAAAACAATCATCAGTCAATCAATTCATGCGCTTAATGAGTACTAAATTTTCAAGAGTTTTTCTTTTTTAATGTTTTTTCTGAAATAAGTTTTGGTGGCGAGTCTTTGTTTCTTATAAATAATTTTTTAATTGTTTCATTGCAATAAAGGAATTCTTATAAAGGAATAATTACTTAAAATTGTTCAAATTTTTTAATTATTAATCGTCAACTATTATTTAATTTTAATTAATCTTTTATTTGTTTTAAAATGCATAAAGTGATAAATGTCTAATTTACTTTAATTATAATAATAGTTATTATAAAAAAAATTATTATATATAATAATTTATGTGATAATGTGATAAATATTTTTTAACATTATATATATATTATATATATATGGTATCATTCGAAATGAAGTACGGCATGAAGTCACACGAATATGCATTAGTCAATTTTTTAAAAAGTCCATACTTATCTAGACATTTAGACAACTTGGATTATAGAATCGTGTAGTTACGAGTTAGAGAAACAAAACAGAAAAGTCATTGCATTTGCCTTAATTATTATATGAAATAATCGTGTATTTAGATTCTATCGGCCATCTGAGTACACGGATCAAAATATTGTGTCTCCAACTCCTGTCCCCAAATCCTGTCCCTCCAATCATAAATTATCACGTCATTATATTTAATTTTTATTTTTATTTTTAAAAAATATAACCAATTTGTTACAGTAATCGCTCTCACCAGCGACACCTTCCTCGCTAGAAACAACCCAAACATCACCGCGGGGTTTATGTGACCTCCTGCGTCGTCACAGCCACATCCATCATGAATTAAGTGAGAGAGTTTCTTCCTCCTCCACCGCTGCTGCGGAGGTTTCGTTTCGGCGACGTCGGAGGGCGGGAAGAGGCGGAGGCTGTCCGATTCGGAGGCCTTGTCGTGGGCGGCGACGGAGGGAGCGCGGCGGCGGCGGTGGAGGAGGAAGAAGGCTACATATGCTTTTTTCTTCTCTTTGGTAAAGAAAAAACTGTAACAAATTAGTTACATTTTTTAAAAATAAAAATAAAAAATAAATATAATGACGTGGCAATTTATGATTGGGGAAACATGATTTGGAGACAGGAATTGGAGACAGAAGATTTTGATCCTGAGTACACCATAAGTTTATATTTAATTATTTAGATAGCTGATGTTGAATGTAGTACTTATTTGTTTGAATTTTTTTCCTTCTATTTCTTCAAATGTAAATTATAAGCAAAGTTCAGTTGAATCAAAGGCTTGAAAAATGTTGCTTTTATTTTAAAGTTGATTTAAAAAAGTAAATTAATTTTATTCAACTTAATTTTTTAACTATAATTCAAGCATATATCTAATAATTTTATTTCACATTTCATTTTATATGATTATATATTTATTTATTGGTCAAAATTTTTCGAACAATCAAGACCCCTTTAAATAGTTATTTATGAGATTTCTAGTCATTTTCAAGATCAACGATTATCTCGAAATCAAAACATTTTTTCATATATTTTATACTCAATCACACATTTTATGAAAAAAATCATCAAAATAACACTCATTCCTAATTAAATGACTAAAAGTTAAACACGTTTAACTTTAGAGTTCTTAAGTGATGAGTTGTAAAAAAGTAAATACATATTATTCATATAAATAATATTAAATAATTTCTTTGAGTAATTTCCAATCGTACAGTCCCACACTTATACAAATCATTGGATCCTTCTTATTCCAATATATTGAATTGTTACATAAATTTTATAAAATTAGTGATTGTTTTGGATTTTTTTTATCTTTCTAAAATTTATAAATATGATTTTTTAAATAAATAATTTTTGTTATTTTTTATCTTTGAAAAATGTTTTTCTTTAATTTTTATTACTCTAAATCTAAAAATATTATTTATGGTCTCTAATAATTTTTAAAAAATAAACAAATAATATTTATTTTGAAAATTTATAAAAATTAAGGGTCGAGGAGTTTAAGACCGAGCTCGTCAGGGAGCAGTGACCTTTCACGTACGCCTGCCTGCCAAGGTGCCATGTGTCATATTTGTCGCTTCGTTCTTGAGAACGTGTGGGGGCGCGTTACTGAGGAGTGGCGGTTATGTAATGATGGCCGTGCTTGCCATAGTGGGGCTCATTACATGAGTTGCCAGTTATGCTTTCTCTCTCCGACACGTGGCATGACCGTTTGAATTTAGGAAGTCTTTTTTTTTCTCTTTCTCTCGCGCCTCTTCATTCACTTTACTCTTTTCGTTTCTTCTTCTTCCTTAGCTCCTTGCGCACGCTTCTCCCTGGGTTTTCGCTCTTGCTATTCCCGTTCCCGTTTCCGGTAACCCCGTTGTCGTTAGGGTTATTTTCTGATAGAGAGTACCAGGTACTTCCTTTCTGTAATCTTCTTTTTCCTTCTTGTCAAATCTTCTTT